CGTCCCACCACTAAAACTATAACTCCATCTCTCTGCCTTTTTTATACAGGTTTGCGACCCACAGCGTCCACAGCGCTTTTGCGGAATCCTATACCAGCAATAGTAAAGCATGGTGGCGCCAATTTCCTCTACCCAGATTTTTTTCAGAATGAAGCAAAACAAAACCATATTATTAGCTTCATTGGTATCACGAGTTTGTAGTCCTGGGCACATAACAGGAATGGTAAACACCACTTACAACCATGAGGAGTAGTCTTAAATCCAAGAAAATGTTCGCAGCACGTGAGAGTACGCTTGGAATAGAATACGTCAACCCGTTACATTTTCACAAAATTAATGTGTGTGATCAAAGGCGTACCGGTACTTACCAGCAGCGATGATAATTACTCCCAGTGCAGATAACATCTTGGTGGGCTCCACAGACATCACGTCAGCTAAGCCTCTAAAAGATATAAGCACCAAACGATTCAATTAAAAAATACAAAGTTGATGGAAATTGAAGCAATTTCAGACTTTCAACAAACCCAGTTAGTTTTCAGGAGAAAATCTGGGCCAACCTCCTTAGAATAACGACGTTTCTCTCCACGCTTTCTGCTTTGCCGTATCAGTTACGATCAATGCAGCGTAACGCAGTTCAATGCAACTCCCAAATCTTACCCAAGTCCATGGACCTGTCGTCACACCGCTTTTTGTCGCAGGGCGCCCCTTTTGATTTCAAAGATTCTCATGCTGGCATGGGCGTAATTACCTGTACAGTGGCACACACTACGTAAAACAGGGCACCAGTGATTCCATAGGGCAAGGAACAGAGTGATTCACATCAAACTTCTGGTTGACCTGTTCTCAAGTTATTCATGTCCCTGGAGCTGTGCTTTCTTTGCTTTTACTTTATTTCTTTTACTTTATTTTTGAGCAAGAAGGTTCAAATTCGTAAACAATCAACAGTCAACAACGGGCAAACATGTTACATGTGCAGAATATACAAATCGGAGAATAAAAGCAACTCTGATTTACTCTATGTGTTTGCATAGGGCCGGTGTTCACGTTTAAAGCAATTTATTATGCAGATTAGGTACTACTGTAAAAACCTTCCGACCAAGGTGGATCAAAGTCCTTTTGATAAAAACGGAGTTCATGTGCTCATCCGAAATGCCAGGGAATGAATCGGCTAGTGGTAGACCAGTGTCGATGATCATTTCACCTCAGTGTTATTTAGTTGGTTTCGTTTTGCAACTTAATTTGAATTCCTGTCCCTAGTAGGTGGCTATGCGGGATGTAGATTTGGTATGGTTTAGTGTAATTTAACCAAAGGACTGAATTTTTACTAGAACATAACAGTCTTAAACTTAATGCAGAACATAGGAATAGTATACTCAAGTACATACACTGAATACACTATTACTATTTCAGCAAACAAATCCTTCCCGAGGCCAAAACATGAGGCTCTATAGAATACGGGCGTTTCACAATAGTGCGCCCCCAAGAGTGTGCAACGCGTTGGCCAATCACAGTGCGCGAAATTTGTCGACCCAATGCGCGATTGAAAAGGATGCTCTAAAAACTCGGACTGCACTGATTATGGTACGCAGTATAGTATAGCATAGTAATGATAGCTTGCGTAGTTATGATTATGTCATTAATCTCACACTTGTCGCTGCGATGCTGTGAGTCGATAATGATATTCAACGATGTCTCGTTACCCTGACAACCATCTTTACACAAAACGCTTCTTATCCGTCCACCGAAAGGCCAATAACCATGGGTCATTAATGATTGAGTTTTAGCCAATATAGGCCTACAAACATCATTATATCGCAGTTGGGTAATAGCGGAACCGTGCGGTGAATTTCTACTCTTCTTCAATGTATGAAGACTGCATGGAACCGTTTTTAGGTGAAGAGAACTGAAAAGTGCATTTCTGAAACCTCCAAAATTGACCAAGCACATACGGACAAGTGAGGGCGGTTTTTGCCGTGATGTAAGCCCAGGAAGACACTGCTCAGTTTGCATGTTTTTATGTTTAAATTGTGATCTCGAAATTTACTGTGTGAAAACATTTCTGAGAAAAGATTGTTCACTGGCTTTATTGCCATAAACTTACGCAACAATAAATTGTGGTTTGGTGTTTATTTTTATGGTGTCGTTCCGTACAAAATCCAAGGTAACTTCCCACAGCAACGACGTAAAACACAGTAACGACGTAAAGATTTTAAAAAAAATCAGCCAGAGCCAAAACCATATACATGTACATGTACTGGGTAACGGGACGTAGAACATTCTAGTTCAAAGGATTAAAAAATTCGGCTGGGGACAACAGGGTTCTTATTACTATTCTTAATTCTAAAATTTTACACATTCTGTTTCCTATCCAAGGGTTCCGGAAGCGCGCCATCAGGGATCAACTTTCAGGATCTGGAATGAAAAGTTGCATTTCAGACTCTTTCCGAAATTGTCATGTCACAGAAATAGCCATAGGATTGGTACGAACATGCACACTGAAATTCTAACTTCCAAACTTCTCCTCAGATTGTTAGATTAACGAGATGAATTGAGAGCAGAAAGAGCGGTTTTTAGGTAAAGTTTGAGTTTCCTCTGTTGTGATTTAGCATTCACTTTCGATATTGTTTTAAATGGTCGTTGTGAAACTTTCAGTTTGTTCCTTATTTGTGTTCCTACTACAAAGCGACCTGAGAGAATAAAAGGGGATAGTTTTCAGCAGCCTTCACATAACCCGATGTTAACTTACCGATTCGGATGGACGTTGTAGGAGCGCAGTACGCAGAGAGAAGGGAGACAGCCGATACAGTCCGTCTGAGCCAATGATATTTTGGCGGTCAAATTCAACGATGAGCCCCTAAAAAAAAAATGGGCGACAAAGGCCTGCCGGCACATAGACCAGTGATTTCAGCCGGAAGAACAAAAAAGCATTTTAACACATATCACTGGACCTGTTGAATGAGTCTGGCCGTTAAATTTTCATTTCGGCCTTGCACACAGATGAACCAGGCAGGACTGTCTCCATGGCAAAATGCTACAACATAACCGAGGTTCTACATTCATGCTACGGGTGTACATAATACGGGGCGAAAAGATGAATGGGCCCACATGTGCGCACTCCAATTGCTTCGCCTGCTGTTAAACATGCAATAACTCATATGGTTTGGTTCATTGTGAAACATAATAGGAGCTTCCAAAGGCTATATTCTATATCGAGCGACTTTCTTTTCCTTTACCCCGTTCGTGATGGCGTGCATGTGAACACGAGGCACTTTTTGGAGATCACTCCCTTTTGGAAAAAATCAGGGCCACAAAAGGAAAAAAAAAATCCCACTCTCTTTAAAATGAAATTTAGAGGTACATGTAGTACTTTTTCCAAAATGCTAGCGCTTTCACTCGGCCATGAAAACAGACACATCATGCAATGTTACGCTATTCGTAATTGCATGGACAATGAAAAGGCGTTCAGATGACTGTATAATAATACGATCCTTCTTCCCAGTGTCAAACACCCTTCTCCCAGTGTTAAACTCTTCTTCTTACTGACAAAGTGCAGTCAAAAATAAAATGGATATGGCAGTAGTGTAAAATTGCTCTACAGGCCTATGGGAGCAATACTTTTTAGCTGTTTCAAATAAATTAACCGTACCGTATACATGTACAATTTTGACAACGAAATCCTTTATTTCTTTCCCTCAAGTAAACAGAAAGTGGATCCTGGAGAGAAAACAAAATTACAAGTTATGTGGTACCGACCAAGCATTTAGGCGAACGGACTCCTGGTATTTTTTGCAATGTACAGGCAGTTATCGTCAAATCTGCTTCGCTTTCACGATCTGCTGCAGAATAAACCAGCCTTATTATTCGAGATAATTTCTCCACAGAAAATTTACAGTGGCACGAGAAAGTTAAATGATTATTAGGCACTGTTATTTAAATCTTACATTCAAAGTTTTTTTTTTAAAAGTCCAAACACTTGGTATGAATAAGTTTAATTCCACGTTCATTGCTAAATCACTACTACACGCAATTAAGTCTACCAACAGCGGTATCTTGAAATTCCAAAAGCTTGGGAAAGTATCACTAATTGTTCATAAGTCAATATTGCGTCTAAGTACGTTGCTTGTCCTGATGGAATAGACGTCTCACTTTATTTTTGCGTGTGAAAAAAGAAACCATAGCCTTTTTGAGAGGATTGAATTATTCCTATGGGAGTCCATTTTTTTTAACCACGACTTGATCGTTTCGGTTCCATGTTTAGGATGCCGATTTTGGAGATTTCTGGGTCTTTAAAATCCGATCTTTTTCCTGTGAACTCCTAGTCACAAGAGGGAGCGCTACACTCGCCATTCTGTGTATTATAAGCACATTAGATGAGAGTCATTTTCTTTGAGTAGGGCCTACAAATGTTATCACCATCCTGCGCGGGCTTAGCATGGTTTCTTTCTTTCTGCAACATTGAAATCCGAATTCTACAGACCTTTCTTTTGTGTGCAAACATTAAAATTTTGGAGTGGGCGACAAAAGCTTGAACTGTATTCATTCGTTTATTTTCGAACACTTTGTGACGACAGGCCACAATCTGCCTGAGCAGAAGCACCCCCTCATCGATTGACGGGGAGTGTTCATTTTGTTGGCAGCGATAAGACTGCAACGCTAGCGTTTCTTTGTCGTTCGTAAACCAACGATGTGTACTTTCCACCAAGGGGCCGAAGGAACCTTCGTTGCCAGGAAATTGCGCCCTCTCTTGGTCAAACTCGCCCGGGACCCATTTTGCTAGCAATGCACCAACTGGCAAAAACGGCAAATTTGACGTGGAAAAAGGAAAGGTCCGTCTATGGGCCTGGACTCATGCTTGGAATCTGCTCTGATTTGGTAGCTGCATTAATGAACTGAAATTTAGTGGCGGGGAAATTCTTTCGAGAGCATCTTGAGGGCGCTTGTAATGTGCTGTTAACTACTACTGGGTAGCAACGACATTACGTCTCATCTTCATTTCACACCCCTTCAGAGAGTACCGTCTTCCCTTCCAGGACACCCACTGTATCCCCTGGTAGTCATCAACGACTGGGCTACTGTGGTACACGCCGTTCAAGTTGCTGTCGACCCGGTTGCATTTTTTGAACCACCAGCCCGAGCGGAACACCTGGCCGCAGTTCAGGCCTCCCGAGTTGTCGTTGTCCTGGTTGCTCGTTGTGAACGATCTCAAATGCAAGGCTGTGAGAGAGTCTCCTACGATGGAAAGAAGGACCGTTATGTTGTCTGGGTTGCAAAAGAAGTTTTCGCTTGTGATCGTGGCCCATGTCTGTTAGTAGGCTTTAGTCATCTGATAATTCTTGTCAAGTTTGGGTGCTGGTTCTTTCTTGTGTTGTGTAGCCTTGGCAGGAGGATTAAATAGTCTCTCTCGAGCCCACGACAAGTCCTTTCACTAGACCACGCGTATCACTGTGATGGACTACAACATTGCCATTTAGTTCTCGTTCAAATTAAAAATGCCACTTGTGAATGCTTTAAGCATGGCCTCGCAGAAAAAGGCAAAAGTAACTGCAAACAGGGCAGCGAGAAAGTTAGTGTTAAAATGCAACTTATATTTCAAGTTTAGTCTATAAACCCCTTTGAATATACTGTAAGTTCATGGGAAACCATTTTTATCCCATGCGCTCCGATGGAACAAAAGAGGGCGCGCGTACACGCAGAACGCAAGCAAGAAACTGCTTGGAAAACTTCCAACCATCTCTCTTTATTTTGCCGCTTGGGGGTGCACTTCAGCTCGAGGCTGATAGGGTGTGGTTTTTTCGCCTGAGTGAGCACAATCTTTCTTTTTCTATTGCCACCCAAGGTTGCCGGTCCAAAAGTCTACTTTTGCTGGGATGCCGCAGCTGTTGTGGTTGCCACTCTAGTCGTCAGTATCGTTGTTGCATCAAGCCAGCAAAAGGGCGACCGACACCGTCTTTACTCACCCGCCTGCCCAGCTCCGGAGTCGAAGTCGCTGGCGTCCAGGTCGTATGTGGCTCCGGTTATACTGAACCCACCGTAGTGCGCCCGCGCCTCTTGGTTGTCGAAGGAGGTCAGCGTGACCACTAGCTCCCAAGACTCGGAGGCGGGCTCCGTCAGAGTCCGCAGCTTCTCGTTGCCCAGCCAGAACTCCCTGGTCAGATCGCCGAAACCGTCTGCGTATTCCTGCCAGTTGCGGTGGAAACTGATGGAGCCGTCGACGCGCCGTTGCAACACCTGGGAAAGCCAGCAGAATACCACAAGGATTGTAAGTGCCAGATTAAGACGACCGGGCGGATATGTGGCCGAGGATGGGCTTGGAGGACCAAGGGAAAGGGTGAGAAGAGCTGTCCTCCAAGTTCTAGCCATTCTCTGTCAAAGTTTACAATGGTCGCCAAATAGTTGACTGATACTCTTACATACAAAATAAAAGCTGCAGCCAAAGTAAGAAAGTGTCCTGCCAAACGCGAGGAAGACGATTAAAACTGGTCGCCTCTGTCAGCGAAGCAAGTTTGAATGATGACCTCCAGATAGAGAAAGAGAGGGGGGTGTCTTCATTCTAAAAGAGAATTCTCAGATTCAAAGGTGTTTTCCGTCAGTTTGCAGCTCTGTAAACATACCAATTTGATTGCTAGCATAACCAAATAATGCGCACGTTTGCAAAGAATTTGCGCGAAACACTCACTGATCTCTTTGCACACTTGTCAACGGTGCCCAAGAGCAGATCCAGAATCGAAAGTTTTGGACGGAGGCAAAGTTTTTTGGAAGGAAGCAAAACCCTTTTCTGAAGGTTGGGGCTAAATTCTGGGTCTTTTTACTCCCCTTTTGAAAGGGGTGGGTATAACGGACTTCGTTAAGGTGGTTAAAGAATTGAAAAATACATGTACTCGATGAACTTACTATGTAACCGCGTCCCGACTCCATACTGCAGTAGACTTGCATGTTTTGACCTTCATGTTGAATGGTATACACACCGCTGGTTGTATGACCGGCATCCAACACCTCCTGGCAATCTGCCGCTGGCTGTGACGCCGTCGTGGTAGAACCGGGAGTCGACTCCGAGTCAGTTGTCGTCACCTCTGGAGTCGACTTTAGGCCTGTTGTTTTGAGCACTGCTGTGGACACTCGGGCAGCTGTGGTGACTCCTGGCGACGTACTTGCAGCACCTGTAATTTGAAGTGTCCACACAGACGAACAATTTGCCTGCCCTGTTTAATAGTGGCAGACAGCGGATACAAAATACACACTGTAGAAAATGCACGCGGCTTATAATTAACAATAAAGGTAACATCCTCTTTGAAAAAAACAAGAAAGAAGTTGGTCGTTAGAACCAATATTTGCCAAAACCAGTGTATTACTTCTACAGAGACCCATGGTTAAGGCCAATGCGTTGGTTCCAAAGGCCGACCTGTTTAGGTGAGTAGTCCTGTGAGTAGTACCACTTCCGTGGCAGGAATAGGTAGACCCTAAAAAAGTTACCACAATGAACTCATACTAAAAGTTTTACAGTGAAAAACTGGAATGCCGGGCAAAATTTTTATTATTTTTCAATAATATTGAAAATACTGACACTTTTGTTTTAATAAGTGAGACTTTGTAAATGATCTTGAGCTAGCCTGTGATACTGCAAAGGAAACAAATATCGTTCCAAACAACCCGGGCCGGAAGTCCGGTAGAGATATAAATAAACCAAGTCCGAGGGACCTCAATATACCATCCAGAATTTGCCAAATATCCCTCGAGCTGTGAAAAGGCACTTAGGGCCCATTTACAGGTAAGCGAGTTCAGTATGCCATTACAGAAAGTGGAATAATTTATATCACAAAAACGGCATGAGGAGTCTCCAAAAATAACAACAGTGCTATATGTCATCCAAAGTACGCGTACGACGACGAAGCTCTCAACCAAACCACTCAACCTGTGACGTCACACTTAACGAGTCCACTAATAGAATACAGAAGCGTGTCGCGACCAACGCGGAAAAAATATTTTATCTCGTTTAAACGACTTAGTTATCTCGTTTAGTTGCATGAATGTCGTTTACACGAGTTAAAGTCGTTTAAACGAGAGAATAGGTCGTTTTTACGAGATATATTTTTTTGCGTTAGCAGCAATACGCCTCCGTAATAGAATGTGCTATCTCATCGCGATATCTTTCACATATAGCTGAGGTTTTGAAATCGCCATTCCGCACGAATACAGAACACTATTTCATCTCGCGGAAATGTTCATACGGAAGTGTATAAGGGCCACTTGCATAAATTTCCTTTTCGAGATATTATTTCGCTGCGACGAGTTACTATGTCGCTGCGGCGTTTAGTATATATTTCTCAAAACTGAACAAAATCTTATAGATGTTATTTCTTATTTTAGATTCCGAATCGAGTGAATTTTTAAAAGAGCGAATGAATTTTATATAGGCCTACGCAACGTAATCTCTAGGATTGAATGAATCCTAAAGTTCAAAATTCTTTAAAAAGAGAACAAAAACTTTACAATGTAAACATTTGTGTTGAAATTTAAACATTTTTTTACATCGTGACGGCTTATGTGTTTACGGAATTCTCACTTTATCCGAATTAAGAAAGCATCCAAATTGAGAACGCATCCAAAGCCGCGTATAAAAAGTATTCGATCATTTAGACGGTATTCTGCGAAAGCCTCAAAGTGACTTGAGCATATTTGTTGAAAAAGGGAAGCATAATTTTCCTTGATTGATTTAACAAAGTTTTCACAAGTTGCTTTTATAAGTGGTTGCTTATTTGTTTGGATTTATGTTAATTTGGATGCTCTCTCATTTAGGATGGCATGAGATTTTGAGTAAAATGCGTGCACCGAATAGTTGCTTTACTTTTAAAAAGTGTTCCCATGCATTTCCAAAATACGTTGTCTATTCTGTACAAAATATTTTATTTGATCAGAAAATAAGTGTGGGCTTTAATCATTCGTTCCAATCTTGAAAAATTTAGGCTTTGTAAAAGTTGACGGTCTTTGAAATTCCTTGGAATCTTGAAAATAAGCTGCGTCAGTGAAAATTCATTCACTCTTTAGAACTTCATTGCAATCTAGAAAATGTATTAGATCCTTAAAATTTCGTTCTGCTTTTGAAAAAGCTACTCCAAATTTCTAAAATACGATTTTTTAAAAATGACATTCGCTTTAAAACACGTTCAATTAAAAAAAACTGCTTTCCATTTATCAAAACATGTTCCAATCTTTCCTTCCCTAGTTCTGCTTTGCAATTGGGGAGTACTCCGACCGATATAACCTAGACAGTTCACAAAAGTCTCGGTACAGACGCGGCCGGAAATGCCCGAACATTACCGATACCATCCGAATGGTCTTTATCTTCTCCCTTTACTCATTTGACCACCAATTTTATTCATTTTAACCTTTGTAACAATTTTTACAATTTTGAAAGTATTGACTTTAAACTGAATATGGACAGGATAAGTTCGGAATAGTTCGACTATTCCCGGAAATCTGGAGGAGTGTTGGTCACGTGGACATTGGGTGATACAGGACCCTTGATTAGACGAGTAGTCGGAATCATTTGGGTCTGGTATCCAGACTGGGTCTTAAGATGCAGCGAGTTGAACTAGTTTTAGCTAACTCGCCGCGACGAGATAGTAAGTCGCCGCGACTAGATAGTATCTCGAAAAATGGCCCATATACGCTTCCGTATGTTCACACTCAGAGCAGCCAAAGAATCTGCTGCCAGTCGGCGGTCTCTTAGGTATGACGCCACGAACTTACTGGCATGAT